AGCTGGCCCTGGACTCATGCAAGCTGGACACCTAGCCCTGTCCTTTCACTGGCTATAGCACTCAGGGCTGTGGGCACTGCACATGGCCTAGGCAACACTGGAGCTGGCCCTGATGGCCAAGGCATGAGTGAGCCAACCCAGAGGGTGTGAGAACAGGAGAGCTGGCCCAGCCCCTCACAGGCTGCAGCACTTGGGAGAGTGGGCCCCACATCTTGACTGGACAGCACAGTGGAGCTGGCTCTAGAGGTGTGGGTGTGGGTGAGGTCCTCTATGGCTGGCTGACAAATCCTGTACCTCTCAACTCTTCCTACAATCCCTCTCCCTGCCCAGATGTCCGCCTTTCCTCTCCTGCCTCAGCTAGGCTGTCAGCTCCTTTTTAAGCCGATCAGAAGGTGAGGGAGGTGAACATTTACAAAGTAGGTTGTGGGTGCTGCCAATTAGAATAACAGTACCAAATCCTGACAGTGCTCAGCTCTCTGTTGGCACAGAAATCAACATTTGAATAACACAAAGGCAACCTGTATGCAGTGCACAAGAAGATTATCCCAACAGTGTGGACCAGCTCAACTAACACCCAGGCCAAGACCCAGGGCTCGGAATTGGCTCACCCCAAAACCTGTATCATCTGAGAATGGTTGGGACCCATGAAAGGGCCAGTCCTACTGATCCAAAACTACAGGGTCTCCGTGAAGCAAGCCAACAACAGGATAACCAGGAGTCCTGATGAGGATCCAACATTGATGGTGTCACGGAAGCCAGAGATCTCAAACAGGACCGATGACTCTGCAACGAACATTTGCAAGTGAAGACGTGTGCACAGAGGGATATACTGTAGGACACACTGTGACACACTACAGCTTCCACAATGAGATATTTTCTATGCTTTGTTGGTGGTGGTGGTAGTGTGTGTGTGTGTGTTCACGTGTGTGTTCACGTGTGTGTTCACGTGTGTGTTATTCTGGGTGGGAGATTACAAAGGATGCATATAAGGGGAGAGGGAGATGAGCGGGACTGCGGTGCATGATGTGAAACTCACAAAGAATCAATAAAACAGGTTTTTTTGTTTTGTTTTGTTGGTTTTTTTTTTTAAAAAGAATATTGCCAAAACCTCAAGACCAGTTTACACGGTTGAATCTAGTCCTTACCACTAGGGTAACTATTCCCTGTGCTTCTAACAGCATAGCATATGCTGATACAAAGGCAATCGTAGTCTACAGTGTGTGTATGTCCATCCATCTTCAAGCCTGTCTGCCTGCCTGCCTGTCTGTCTGTCTGTCTGTCTGTCTGTCTGTGTATCCTTTCATCCTATGTTCTGTTGGTGAGATTTATCCACATTGTTGAATATAGTTTATTTGTTTGTGCCCATTGATAAATAAAGACACAATTTATCTTTCGTTTAGTGGGCAGACATTTGAGAAGGTTCTACTTTGTGATTATAGTACATGTATTTCAGCCCACAGGGGCCCATATTTTTGTAGAATCTGCTTAAGGATTTCTGGGTTTTGTTTTGGTTTTTGTTAGGCTCAGGTATCCCATAGCAACTGTACACCTCTAATGTGTGCTGAGTGAAGCCCAAAGCTGACCTGTTGTGGCTCTAAGCTTTACCTGTGACCAGCTGTCTATATCCACATCGAGGTTGCAGCGAACAGTATCAGCTTCCCAAGGCACACTCCGTCTCCAGGGAACTTGGGAACTCTGCAGTTGACCTTGGGACTTGTTTTGCAGTGTGCAGGGTGCTTTCTATGCCTCTTCTCCTGACCCTACCGCTTGCCTGTATGGCTCCCCTCTCCCCTGGTTCTGCTCCTAAAATGCATAAAAGTGGCTTCTCATCTAGCAGGTGCTTCTCTTCTTGCTCACAGCCTCTTCCTTTGTCTTCTCGGCTCACACGGGCTAGATTTGGTCCAGGTCTTTCTTTTTACAGTTTGTCCTGTGCTGTGGATTCAGCTTGTTCTCCTCTGAGATGCTTTGATCATTGGTCCTTCTGTTCCCATCCCCCACCCCCCCACCCAACCCCAGGCCCCTTAGTCATTTCCTTAACTGAAATCCCCCTTTTCAGATTGGCAACCCTCCTATTCCTAGAGTGTCTGGCTCTGACTGTCCACCAGGAAAGGTAGAGCACAGATCTCAACATGAAACAGGCCAAGTTAAAGGTTTGCGCACTGATCAGGTAAAGTGTGGGGTGTAAATAAAAATGTGAGAGCCAACTAGGAAGAAGATGTGAGTTGGACAACTACAGAGACCAAAACATCAGGAAGCACAGGCCTTCAATGTTTGGAACTGAGCTTGTATCAAAGGCAATAAAAGAAACTATAGATTATAGTGTTGCTGTTATTAGGACAATAAAGCAAATTTTCAAAATAATGTTTACAATAGGTTTGAGAGAATATCTTATTCATTGGTATTTCTCCTAAAAACTCAGCATAGCAATGGCCTATAAATATTTTTAAGGCTAAATTAATAGTTAAATTAAATAAGTTGCTATTATCCCTGGATCATATGTCTTGAATATTCACTAGACAGCAGGTAGTTTCTAGTGTGTCACAACTCCAGCAGGTGGACACTATGCTTCAGCAATGCTCAAATGTAGAAAACAAAGCTCAGAAAGTAACTTTCTGTGTCATTGCTCCCACTGGACAGCTTCTGATCTAAACTCAGGTGAACTTCTAAAGTCTCTTAGGAATCTAAAATGATAAAATAAATGGGTATTGAAGGGTACTTCCATTTACCAGACAATAACACCAACCAGCACTCTGTGTAGTGAGAGACTGCCAGAAGCTTGGAAAAGCTGCACTCCCTCTGCTGGACACTATCAAACTTCAAAGCTCACAAACCTTTGCTGTGTCTGCCCCTGCTGTCTGATTTGAGAACTGCTGTTCTCCAAGCTTGGAAGTAGATGAAAGTAAGGCTCAGAGAGCTCAGAAAGCTACCCAGCCCTTTATCAGTTTTTAGGGAGTGGTGTATTGCCTACATTCCAAGTTGGAACCTCTGCTCTGGCAAGTAATGTCTTCGAATAGGCTCTGGGAGGCTAGCCACTGTCCTGGCTATTTTATGCTTTGCAGTATCAAGATAGAAGATGGAAAAGCTAAAGGTTGTTTTTAAGAAATTGGAACAAAGTTCAGAAGTCACGGGTTCGAGTCCCAACTGGATCACTTATTCAAGTGACAGATTCAGTTTAAAAACTGAGTTTTTACTAACAGAATCTGGAGATGGCCCATATGTAATGGGTTATGTGTGCATAAAAGAGGGAAACGATAGCCAGAGGTAGCAAACAAACAAGCAAACAGGGATGCTTCATAAAATAATAAAATAGAGATAATAACTTCCTAAATTAAATTGAGTGCCTGACTGAAAATATCACATATTCCAATTCATTACCAAGTTCAGTTTAACAAGTCTTTCTGAAAGTCTAAGTCAGAGGACAGCCTCAGAACTGATACAAGATACAGAAGACAGTCCAGGTAGCATTATTTGGGGATGGTCAATACCACATACTCACATAGTGAAAAGTAATTCTTAGAAATACAAAATAACAATTTCCAATGGTCATTTACTAATATGAGAAGAGTTCTGAACCTGACTATTTTCCATGTGGAAAGAGAAACAGCATCTCCATGAAAACCTGTGGGAAGTGGTCAACACAGCTGAGGGGAGAGGGATAGTCATTCTCAAATCTTGACCGTGGTAAAGCTTACGTTCATGTATTTTACTGGTAGCACACAATCTACTTCTTTAAAAACTGACAAAAATAGAATCTCAGTTACATTTGTTAATTAATAGCACTTAGGATTTTCAAACATGTGTCCATCAGCCTACTAGAAAGCCAAGAGACAGAGTCCTCAGTTGTGGGAACATATGGTACTTGTCTAAAGAGGCTAGGCTCAACAATTGACCAAATATTTGACAATCAGAGATGTCTCCTCAATCATCACTTCTTTCTGTCCTCTCCATGCTTCTACCTCCAACTTCTGAGATTTTTTTTCTCAACGTATTTTTGTGTCCGTGTTATCTAGATACAGCTCTTTCAGTTTTTCACTTCAGCATGAAGTATATGCCTTCAGTGCATATTCACATGTGAAATAAAAGTGGATACTCCAGGAGAATTAATGAATGAAGAACACTGATAAGAGGTCTCTTCAACCGTGCAGCTCGAGGGGACAATGTAAGTAGTGTACTGAGGATTATCAAGTGAGTTAGTGTGATATGACCACCTTGATCATTGGAGAGTTAGTGTGATATGACCACCTTGGTCATCGGAGCAGAATCTGGATGGTTATCTAGACCTGTAAACAGGCAGATTTGAGTGGATAGTTATATACTAGCTCTCTTTGAACCATATAAATTGAATCCAAATATGTCCTTCCTCACAACGTTTGTACTTGAGTTTTTAGACAATCCATGAGCAAGTATGTCTATGCCAAGCTGATCTTGACAGTGAACAAGATAAGTTAGATTGGAAATGGAGAAAAGATAGAATAAAAAAATAGAGTTCGCACTGTCAAGGCACCTACATATAGTTTACACTCAGCTGTGGCCTTGTTGCTAAACAGTAAGACAGAAAGAACATTCGCCTGGGACCTGACGGCTGTCCACTCAACGAAAACATGTCATGTCTGTAATTGAGCTTTAACTTTCAGTTTTTAAGTTACTAAACACTGGCTATTGCATGCATTTATAGTGACTTTAGAACACGAAGCAATGCAAAGAGAATCAATGCATTTATTAGACTTTAATTCCAAGATGTACATTTTACCTGTGGCTATGAGCTAGTTATTCATTAAATCTCTAGGGTAACTCTTAAGTCTGAGGTAGGATGAAAAAAATGATTATAAGGGTCTTATCCTTATTCTTTGAAAGAATAGGGTCGTAACGAAAAAAAAAAAGGTGAGAAGGTATGTCAAAGGAAGAGATGATTCTTTAGAAGTTGGGCCCACTGGCCTGCTGTGTCTCCTTCCTCGGACTACTAAAGGAACTAAGCAACAACGCAAATAGTTTTTGTTTTTAAAGACTTATTTATTTGAAATGCACCATGTGATTTTCCCCCTATACCACACATAGAGTCCTAGCTATATTTTACTCAGGCAATTACTACTTAGGCATGTTTTACTCAAATCTATACCTACTACAGTCAAACTACGGATCTGGGAGCATGAATTGAAAGTAAGAAACAATACCCCCATGTTTAACTTTTGTCCCAAAACAGTTTACATGTGGATCCACCATGAGTAACTGGGCTTAACTTATGGGAAGAGTCTAGATTGTTACTTCCCACCCACCCTCACCACACACACACACACCATGCATGCATGCACAAGTACACACCCAGACTTGCACATGCACATGGCACATGCATGTGGGCACACACACATACACACACACACACACGAAATTTCCTTTGTTCATTTATGCCTGGTCCCACATGCGGGGATGTTGGCCTGGCCTTTTTAATAACCCAAGTACTTCTGACAAAGTCATTTAGATGTGCCATAATAGCTGTGGGGCTCTAGCAGGAGACCAGATGAATTTCACTGATGGCCTGTCTTTCCCAATGTATATTTTGTAGGATTGGTCCCTTTAGACTTCAGTTTCTTCACTGGTCCCCAACATAGACTCCTTTCTTTTGCATCCTGGCTCCCTGGATGGATGCCTGGCTTGCTGACAAACCATAGGATCTATGATCATAAAATGCTTCAGATCATCAAATGTTCATAGGTTGACGACACCTACTCAATAAAATTGATGGTTTCCATGTAACTACCGATAAGTAATGCTCCAGAGTTGATAGACCACGCTTGTTCACTGTTTGAGGTACTTGTCTGGATTCCTTGGAGAGAAAATTATTTCCGCATGGTGGTGGCTGTCCTCAACTGGGTGCAAGGACAAGTCATTTATTTTCAGTATGTTTTCAATATACCTTTTTGGCAATGTCTTCATATGGAATCGCCTCAAAAGTGTACCCAGGACAACTTTCATCATCACCATGGCGATGTATTTCCCAGCACAGCTGCGAGGCCCAAAGCCAAATGGCTGAAAATACCTGTAGGGAACCTATGGAAACAACCAGATGATTAGCCAGAAGCATACAACCATCTTTCTTTGATTTGTCTCTGAAAACACGGGTCAGTCAGAATATCCTGGCTTGACACTCTGCCATGCTGCTTCCTGCCTGAGACCAATGACTGTGGCTAATGAAGAATCCTTTTTAACCACTGTGCCTCTCTTGTGACACAGACCAGCCACAGGTAGTCCCTAGTTTTGTTTTACATGTCAATAAGCTGGGATTTTGCAGTGCAAATCACCACATTATGAGCAATATTAGAGACCATGTAGACTAATTTCAGCTTTCCTGGTGCTTTGCAAGTTACTAAGACAAAGTTTATTTTTGTGTGACCTCATATGGTAGATGAAATGAAGACAAAACCTATGGATGTCCAGACTATTAGTGTCAAGCTTCTTGTGTGAGTGGGAAAGAGAGGTTATCTCAGTGGACTGGGCTGACCCAATGTTCTGATCCTCTTGCCTCTACCTCAGAGTGCTAGGATTATAATAATATACCATTACATCAGGTCCTCTGAAAACTTTTAGTTACTGTGAAAATTAATGAGGATCATGTCTGTCTGTCTTGACTAATATGCATTTATATGACCTCAGTACACTAGAATTGCAATTGACTGACAAGGGATCATCTAGATTGCCTGTCTAGAATCATTGATTAGATCAACCTTGGGTCCTCATGCTACACACAAGTAGGAAAAGAGGTAAACACAGAGAGCTATCTGGAAAATTCTATCTTAATAATATTGTTCTGACACAATGGAAGCAAAAATCTCTCCTATATACCAGCTGTATAAAAAAGAATGCTGATTTTTTTAATCATTGAGTTTTATTTAGAATAACACCCATTGTCTGAGGCTATCTGAAAGAATAAAGGCAGCAATAAAACTAAGTCTTATTTGATTTCTATCTAAAGCAGAAATCTAGATGATGCCAAAGTGATGCCTTGTCTTCTTTTACTTCATTATAGAAAAAGTGATAAGTTCAGGGCTGGAGACACGGCTCAGTGGTAAAGAGCACTGGATACTTTTCTAGAAGACCCAGGTTCCATTCCAGCACCTACATGGTGGCTCATAACCATCAATAAACTCTGGTACCAAGGGTTGTGATGCCCTCTTCTGAACTCTGTGTACCAGGCACATAAATGCTATGCTTACATACATGCAGGTAAAAACACTCATACACATAAGAATTTTTTTAATTAAATGATAAATTTGAATGGAAGAAATCGTTGCCTTAAATAAATCTTTGCCAAATTAAGGACTTTTTTATGTTTTGCTTCTCTGGGTGGCAACTATACAAACATTTTACAGAACTACAGAGGCTGAATGTGTCAGCCATGTTCTAAGCTCTAGGACACAGCTGCTCCCATGATGTAAGAGAAGGGCTGGTGAAGCTCTCTAAGTGTGTGGTGCAAGCACAGGACCGGAGCTGCTAAGACCATGACACCAGAAACAACATGCTCAGGCCTAAGGGGAGGGGGTCTTACATTCTTCTCAAAGTTTTCAAGGGTAAATTCATTGGGCTTGGGGAAGTACTCAAGCCTGTGCATTCTTCCGATGTTCAGGATGATGTTAGTTCCCTTTTTAATGGGGTAGCCATCAATCACATCATCCTCCAGGGCTCTGCGCATGACAAAGTTCACAACAGGCTGGTACCGCATGCTTTCATTAATGAAGTTTTCCATCACTTTTAAATTTTGGATATCATCCATCCTTATGTCTCTGTCACCTGTGGAACAGATTTAAAAAAGGACAAAGAGGGCAGCGTTAGTCTTATATGTGATAAACACTAAAGCTCTTCTTTTTCCATGGAACAATTTGTTCTTGATTAGAAATAAAAATGCTTTTAATTCTAATGCAGACCACTCACTGGGAGCAAATGTGTTGTATTTGGTCCACAAAGGGCTTTATAAAAGTTTAGATGTGAAACCATTTCTGGAAGTTTGATAAGAACTGCAACAAAGGTTTCCTAAAATAATCTGAAAATTTGTTCCTAGTAGACCCATGTTCCTAGCTGCAGTTAATGGGCAGGAGATAGAGCCAGCTACCTTTTCAGAGAAGACATGCCTTCTGCAGTTTTATGTGGGCCACACCTACTCTGCATCCTATATTCCTCTTATCTGCCTTAACTCTTCAAGTTTTTCACCTATTCTACATTCTAGGGAACATTTACTTTGCCTCTTACTATATGTGCCAACTAGCACAGTAACCACCCCAGACAAGGGTGCAGAGGAGGCTACAGAGTCAGTGAGATCATGCACTGAGTCCAGTACATAAATCTCACTCCTCCTGCTGCCTTCCCACACATGTCACTGACAGACCCGTCACATCTGACCTCAAACTGTTGCAGAAATGTGGCAAGATGCTTTCCACTCCTCCTCATAAACAGTGAGTGTCCCACCTAGCCCTGAGTGCTAGTGAGTAATAAGAAGTCAGTCCCAGTGCAGCCTGACCTGACATTGGTCAAAAAAGGTTAGATTGTTCCAGATATGGCAAAATTTTCAAATACCCTCAAATGAGCCACTTTAACAGAATCAAAGTATCCTGGGGGTCCTAGGATATCCCTGTCTGCTAATTATACGTACACACACACACACACACATATACACACACACACACACATATATATATAATTTCCATATATATATATGGAAAGAGAGAAAGACACACACACACAGAAAGAGAGAGAGAGAGAGAGAGAGAGAGAGAGAGAGAGAGAGAGAGAGAAGTCTAGTTCAGTCAGAAAATTCTAAGAAAGAGAAGCTGCTTCTCAAGTACTGTGCTCTGTGCCCAAGGACCCAACAAGTATGCATAACTAGGTTGGAGAGATAAAGGGACAACCACAGAGGTTTCCAAAAGTATTTCCTAGAAAGTAATGACCATGAACCACAAGAGGGAGCAATCTGTTCAGCCTGTGGACCACAGGAGGAAGCACTGATACTGCAACATATTCTGCCTGTGGACCACAAGAGGGAGCCTGGATGTTGCAACATGGCCTGATGCTTTCCCATCTTTGCAGAGTCAGATGAAGAGTCCGGAAATGTTGAGAAGCACCAACACATCTCACTCTCAAGGAACTTTACTAGCGATCTGATAAAAGCATGCTCTCAAAATCAGTTTCCCCTCCTAGACCTTCCTACAGTACCTTCTCTTTTTATTCCTCTGAACTAACTTACTTACTTTGTTCTTTCCTCCCTCCCTCCCTCCCTCCCTCCCTCCCTTCCTTCCTTCCTTTCTCCCACCAGTCTACAAGCCAGCCCAATGAATGCTGTTTCCTGCCTGCTACATAGACCCTGAAAGCCATATCATAAACACTGAGAAAGCAGTCTGGAATTTGAAGCAGAGTTAGCCTGTTCCTTTCTCTGTCTCACCGGGATGTTCTCCCTTATCAATGCATCTACAGAACCCTCCTCTCATATACTCAATGAATGCAGGTTTTTTCTTAGTGTCAACCACTTCAAGCAGCAATAAAACGTCATTTTTAAAGATGGTGACATTTCACGACCAATAACTTGTTTCATCAGCACTGTGTAAAGCCAGGAAAGTCCATCTTGTGTCAGTCTTCTTCCATCTGCAAGTAATGTGTTCCAAAGAAGATCACAGGTGAAGGCAACTTCAAATGAGTGGGGTTTTTTTCTTTCAGAAAAGAGTTATGCTCTCATGCTTCCAAAGAAGAGTGGGGGCTGGATGACGCTGAGGCAGAGTCATGAAAATAAGGGAGGAAAACCAAGGGGCTGGATCAAGGACCCCTACACATTTGTAGTGGACACTCGGATTGGTCTTCATGTGGGTCCCTTACCAATTGGAGCAGGGGCTGTCTCTGACTTTGTTGCCTGCCATTGGATTCTCTTCCCCTACCGGGGCTGCCTCATTGGTCCTCAGTGGGAGAGGATGAGCTTAGTCCTGCTGGGACTGGATGTCCCAGGGCAGGGTGGTACCCAAGAGGAGCTTCCCTTTCTCAGAGAAGGGGAGGGAGCAGTAGGGAGAGGGATCCGTAAGAGTAGGACTGGGAGGAGAGGAGGGAGGGGGCCTGTGATCAGGATGTAAAGTGAAAACATAATTAATGAATGAATAACACAAAGAACAATAAAGAAAACGAAAATGGGGGGTGGGAGAACTGATAGAGCCCAGGGGCTCCTCTACAGAAGCCTTGGGAAGAGTGGGGGAAGGGCCGAAATCCGTGGATTTGTGGAGAAAGAAGCTCATTACCCCGTGGTCTATGCCTTTACCCTTTCATCCTCCTGCTGCCGAAAAGGGAACCCACAAACGCTTTTGTAAACAGTAGCCATCTTCCTAGGTGGACCCACTGAAATAACATACGTAACTCACGAGGCAGGCAGAGCACGTAAAGCGCAAGTTCCAACGAGGAACCAACAGCATGGAGTCGACCAACAGCATTCAACGTGTATTAACTGTGTGCATCCTGAACAAGCGCCGCCTTCCTTTTGTAGTTAATCTCTAGATACTACAATGCCCTGACTATTTATGTAGCATTGCCTTGCATCACACATCATAAACAACTGAGAGGTGAATTAATGTCTACGGGAGGGTTAAATAGGTCGCATGCAAGCACTATATGATTTTCTAAGATGGACAAACCTGACCATATCTGTGTCTGTGTGCATATGAAAGAAGATGTCAGACTTAGGAGATAGCTCAACAGGCACATGTACTTCTCACCAAGGCTGAAAACCTGAATTTGATCCCAGAAGGAAGGAGAAATAACTGTGGAGAGCTGTCCTCTGACCTCCACATTCATACTGTAACATGTGCATATGTGCACACCCCTACACACACACACACACACACACACACACACACACTACTAAAAAGCTCTTGGAAAACATACAGCAAGCAAGTAGCCTATGTGTTGCTCTGGTGTTTGGATTCCTCAATAAGCATATATTTTTGTTTTATACCAACATATAAACAGGAGGGACCGTCATTTTAACCTGCTCCGTCAGCACAGCCAAGATGTGACAGAATTACTTTATTTTTCCTTAAGGTTTTGTCAGATTCTTAAGCAGCTGACACTCCCATTCCAAAGGTGTTCCCGAAGCACAGCTGTCTATCTGGTAACTGCTTACCAACGACAGCGTGGATCTCCTTCAGGATTTCCGCTTCGACCTCCGGATATTCTGCGATGAGAAGTAGCATGAAGTACAGAGAGATGGACATGGTGTCAGGGGCCGCAATCAGCATCTCCAGTATACACTGATTCACGTTCTCCTTCGTCAGTTCTCCACGTCTCTGAGGAATTGAAAGAGGAGAAGACATTGGGAAAGGGAATTGAAATTTCAGAAAATTATGGGAGGTGGCACTCAAGCACCAAACTCAACAAAATGAAGTCAGAGGTTTCTGTAATTGGTACCAGCATTGTACATATGAATATTCACATACGGATAAACAGATAGCTGATTACCTATGTACCCTTGACCCTCTATACACTAGAGTTCCACATCAATGGATTCAACTAACTGGGCATCACATATATTTTGGTTGTATTTTTATTGAGCAGGTAAAAATTTTTTTATAATTAGTCTCTAAACGATGCAATATCATAACTATTGGCATAACATTAAACTTTATTGGGTATTATTAACCTATGGAGTGATACAAATATATGCAAGTACCATGGCATTTTAGAAATAAGAACATCCTTATATTTTTGTATCTGTGTGTGTGTGTGTGTGTGTGTGTGTGTGTGTGTGTTCTAGAATAAAGCTCCCAGATATTGAGAGATATATTTACTCAGCGTCTTAGGTCTCCTCTCTTCCTGGTTTCGTCAATTATAATATAGAAGAATTTGAATAAATGTCATTAAACAGCTGTTTGGACTGTTTTGATGGGCTATCACAAGACTTCTAGAGAAACTTTTTAAAGAAAAACCATATCACCTTTCTAAAAATGATTTTCTAAATAATGGTACATTGTCATAGTATGTATCAAGTGAGGAATTGTGGTTCATTCAGGCCAATACCTCAGCGAGAATCAAATCAGTTGCAAAATCCATACAGTCTTCCAGTTTCTCTGCTGTGGAAACTTTGTATCTTTTTTTTTCCACCAAAACAGCTATTTCATCTTTCAAGTCTTTGCTGAAGAAAAAAAAAGTGTCAAAATTTTATCAATTTAGGCTTCCAGCAAAACAGATTGTGCTTGTTGAAAGGCATTAGTGTTCATGAGTAAATGAGTTTCTAGTTCATTTCTTCACAAATAAGTTACATGAAGTATTTATCTTACAGTACTGGAGTTAACTGAGATTTCTAAACACTGGTAATAATCTCAAAGCTATAACTTTAATTCTATGTTTCCAATTTTTTTGAATATGCAGAAAGCTCTGACAGTTATCAATGTTAGGGTTAGCCATGCTTTTCTGTCAACTCAAAAGATAGCACAGTGTCCTTGTTCCCGAGAGCATATTTGGCTAAGTGGGTTCTTGGCCAGAGGCTAGCTTTGTTCTGTGGTCTGTCCCAGAGCAATCAAATTGCTATGAATGTTTCACAAGTAACAGAATCAGCACGGCCCTCTGTACTCTGGGGAGAATAAAGCTTATCAAAGGGGCCAACAGCAGCAAAGACACAATGAACAATGTACACGTAAATCCTCCAAACTTGAGCTACTTACATTGCTCTTTCATACTTTCTGTAGAGCCAAGAAATCTTAAAGAAGATGTTTGGTTTGATGAGGAGAGCTTGCCATGCTTTAAAATAACCTTGGATCTTCTTCACAATAGAACTTTCTGTGAAACAAAATCAAGAACAAATCCAGTGAGAAAAAAAAAATGTGAGCCAAGGAGCTGAATTTCAGATAGTCTCTTCCACCAGTGGATGGGCCACTGCATAGACTATGTGGCAAACACATTAACTTATCTGCTTGGCATCCAAATTGGCTGGGTTAGCTGTAGACTTGACAGTTTTTAAGTTTGTGTCTGAGACCACAACTTAGACTCTCTTGTACCCCAGTCTGGTTGGGCTTCTCACTCCCTCTGGCTTTTCTGGACAGAGAGTAGTAATTACAATTATTGTGTCCTTGGTCCTGGTACCCAGAAAGGTGTTGTTTGGACAAGTGAGATGACTTAGTGGTTAAAGGTCCTTGCCTCTTAATGATTTGAGTTCAATTCCAGGAATCCACATAAAGGTGGGAGAAGAAAACAGCTCTGGAGTTGTCTCCTGCCCTCTGTGGGTACACACTCATGCTTCTTTCTCGATGATGATGATGATGATGATGACATATTTAATTTTAAAACATCAAGCCTGTTATGCTGCTAACACAGTTCAACTGATTCCAGAATTAAGTGAGATATTAACTGGACTATGTACTGGTATTATCCACCTAATTAACAGTTCCTCAGTGTCTCACTTTCCAGTGCTAGGTTCATTTTATAGTGTTCTTCACATAGCCTTCACACTTACCTATATTTAGCCTGAAGTGCAGAATTTGTTTTAGCTTCTTCAATGCATTGTTAATAACAGGTATGTGATAATAAGTTAAATTGAATACAAAAAGAAAAAGAAAGTCCTTGCCTATTTTTTCAAGTTACACACACACACACAAATCACAAATGAGAAAAGAATCAGAATTTATTTTTTTAACTGCCAAAATGCCAATCACTTCTAGGTTGCTTTAGAGAGCTTTTAAGTTTAATCCTTATAGTCTTGCCAAGGGAATGATAACATCTTTGTTTTGCAAATTAAAGAAACCTACAGTTGATAGACATTAAGGATGCAGACAGTATGGCAGGCAGGTCAGCTTGGAAGTTTTAACAAGTACGCAGTATAAAAGGAAACAAGCATAACCCACATGGGTCACACAGGTGTGGCGGCATTGCAGTCTGGATCCAGCCACTGACTGATTGGTGCAGGGGTTCACAGCTCCTTGACACAACCCTTCCTAATGACCCGGAGGAACCCAGGGAGCAGGGCTGGGTCAGCATGTCTGCCTAACTTCAGCAAAGACACATGCAGAAAGGCTGGGAGCAGACCAGGTGAAAGGTGACACAAGAGTTTCCCAGAGGACATGGTTCCTGTAGCCCTTGGGAAGTGCAGGAGACTGGCGATGGCAGGGCCGAGGGAGCTGGGAGGAGGAAGGAAGGGCTTACAGCTGATCTGTGGCAAATCAGGTAACATACGTATGGCCAGAGGGTTTCCACAAGTGCTCGAGACGCTTCTTTCCCCTAGATCGTTTTTATTTTCGTATCTGCGCATGGCTGTGACTTCCCTTCATTCAGACCATTTTGAATGTCCTCTCTGAAGAGAGATTTTCTGACCACTCAACTCATGATGGCCATGGACACACTTCCATCCCTCCTCAGTCCCTGTTCTTTACCCTGATTTGTTCTTGTTTCAAGGCACTCATTGTCTAACACGTAACCTGGTATTTCCTACCTTTACTGTTCATGTACCCCACTGCAAGAGAAGCTCCTCAAAGGTCACAACTTTACCCATCTCCCTAGTTCTCTCCCCAGAACCTAGAGTATAAAGCAGGCAACCAATACATATTGGTTGAGTGAATGGATGAATCAATGAACTTGGGTATAAATTAATTTAGAGAAATCACATACTAATGTCAACAGCTCTTGGGTGGTGGTAGTTATGTGCACATTTTTAAATGTTTGCCTTTTCTCAATTGGTGGAGAAGGTAGGATGCCTTGTGGGGCTGTTATAAGTATTAAATGGCAGGCATGCACGTAAAGTATCTTTTCAGACTGTTTGTTACAAACCAGCATGTTTGGTACATACGAAATACCTGACAGCTGTTATCACCATTTGTCAACATCAGCTGCACCAGTGCCATCATTTTTTCATAGAGAGACAATCAAGTTCTCATAGAGAGTGACTTTGAGAGGAGCATGTACATAAATACTTGTGTGTGTATGTATCGTGTCCCAAAGAATGATCAAAAATGGTTAAATATATCCAATTTACCAGTGCTATGTTAATGACCACATTAACTGACAATGTTTGCCCATGATAGAACGCTATGTCCTAGAGCAACACAGGAGATACGGAAGGAATGGAGTTGACCTCATTGAATGGACAAGGCTGAAATGCTGGAGGGGCGGGGGACAAGGGAGGGGAGGTGCTGGCTGTAAGGTTGTTCCTTAATTGGCTCTTGATTTGGTCAATAAGGGAGGCTGGGAGCCAACTGCTGTGCAGAAGGGTCAAGTGAGATTTCCAGGTCCCAGGAGGAAAAGGAGACAAGAAAAGAGAAGGCAATTTTCAGCCAGGCTTTGGAACCAAAAGCACACAGCTATTATGTAAGTTCTCAGGGAAGCTAGAACCAGAGGCCTCTGCCACCATCGGATAACCAAGGAGGTCTGCGCAGGCTAGCTGATACAAGATAGCTGATAAGTTTAGGGCAGGAGATTCTGTGCCCAGTAATTGTGCTAGTAGGCAAATTCTAAAGTAATAAAACTGTCTGAGTGATTTTCATTCCTTGTAGCAAAGGTGGGTAAAGAGAGAAGCAGGGTCGGTGCTAGCAGCTTGGCAAAGCTAAGGTTCAGAAAGAAGGAATGAACAAGCCGGGAGTGGGGGTGGCAGCAGCTGATCTCAGAGCTAAGGCAGAGTACGGGCCACAGTCCCCGGCGAAGGTGGTAATGAGATTTTAAAATTTTATGCAACAGTTGGAGGAATATCCTTAGGAATACTTAGAAATGCTTAACCAAGCGCAACATATGACATAGCACTTTGCTCTCACGTACTGTTCCCACATGACCTGTTTGAAAGGGGTCAGAATGCATGAGAATTCAAGTTCCTGTACCGTCCAGGGGGATCCCCAGGAAGAGTATGTTAGAGGTGTCCAGCATGATGTGTCTCATGAAGGTCAACACATCCACATAGCCTGAGTTGTTGGTGACTTCGTCCAGCCTGTCCAAATGCTGCTTCACGGACTCCACACAAACTTCCACCATTCGAACAAGACCAGGGCCTGTCAGAGCTGAGGAACAGAAACTTGGCCATCATAAGGACCAGAGCACACACAGCAGATTATTTCACCTTTATATGTCAGGAGCAGTTGTCCCCAACTTTACATTAAATAATAGGGTGGGAATATCTATAATCTTCTCACATACTTTCTTGTGTTACCCTGATTTTCTGTGAGAAGTACTTACCTTTTTTGCCTAAAAATGAGTGAATGAATATTACTTTAAAACGATGATTCAGATTCAAGTATGTAGATATGATTTAGTGTTTAAGTGTGCTTTAAAATACTCTTACCTGGCTCAAAGAAGATTCAGCAAGTACCCACATTTCATCAATAAAGAGCTCTTTGGCAGTTTCAGTAAAACAACTGCTATGCGCTCTGACCTGCCTCTCCCACACCTCCCAGGATGAACCATTTCCTCTGCTGTGTTTAGCTACTTCCTTACACACCCAGTAGGTTAATAATTTCATAGCACTGCTGAAAGTAATTTAAACTCCAAAATGTGTCCCAATTTTTTCTACTTTCTCAGGAAACCCAAAGGAATCTAATTCCGAGAGGAGGGTTATCAAGATGCTTAGGACTTTTGTTAATTGTAACTGTGTCAGTAATTCAGTATATCTTTTAGTAAGTAATCTGCTTACTATTTGAGGAAATTAGACGACCTCTCCTCATCTGTCCCTTGCCACTGCAGTAACCCCACCTGTTTTCATTGTTCATAGTTGTGTTTTGTTCTCATTAAACTTTTGTCTACTACCAGGGGAATTTTCCTAAAAACACACCCAAATGTTCATATCTATTTCCTTAAAATAATTAGTAAATCCTCGTAATTCTTAAGATATACTCAAGTTCTTGACTTAATAAGAAATGTCTTGAGTGATTTGGCTCTGACTTTCCCTTGGCCTTAGGATTGTCCATGGAGGGTCTCTGGATATGTCGTGATGATTTATCTTTCTCTGCTGTCAAATATCCTAATGTTCTTTGCTCTTATGATGTCTCTCTTTGTTACACTTTCTTAGTTAATTTTATTTCATTCAAAATTCATCATACATACCCATTGCTCTAGACTGTCTTTCTTGGCCCCTTGGTGGCTTTTAGGTGGCCCATGTGTCTGTTCTCTCCAGACCTTACCTAAATAGTATTTGATAATATGTAGCTCCACCTTACCCAGCCTTCCTATTACATGCTCCTCAATGACAGGACAAAAACTTGCTTGTTATTATATTCTTGGTACCTAATACAATGATGAGAACAGTAGCTTGTTGAATGAAAAGGTGAATTTAGAGATTCTATTAACTCTTGAATGTCAAGAGCATAGGATATCCTAAATGCTAGTTGACATAATCATAGTAGACCTGGGTCAAATGAAGAAGTAAAATATAATTTATAATGCCGTGGAGCCAGACATTATATTTTATATAATACATATTCACATAATATATTCATATATTGTATATATGAATTATATATTAATATAATATAGTTTTTTACAACATCTCAAGTCCATGTTCTATAATATTCATCAATTTCTGTGGATAATGAAATAAAGCACCAAGATACTAATTGACTCGACTCAAGTCCTCTTATGAATACTAAGTGGACATGGGAACACTAACATTCTGAGACCTATTAAACCCAGCGTCAGTCTTCTAAGACATAGGGAGATAGATCTGCTTCAAGATGACTAGTGGCATACACAAAAGAATCTACCCAAAGTTTCCTGGGGTCCTAATCACAAAGTGACTCCAGTGTAAGTCCTCAAGAGAACGTGGTTATGATTTGTCATTATGGTAAGTCCAAGCGAATCACAAAAGTCATTAGTGAGGAAACTTTCCAAGCCGAGGCTATAAGAGAAGGCAGGGCAAACAGAGGCAGGCAAAGGAGGACTGGACCTGTACCATCAGACAAGTAATAAAGGTGGAATTCTCTAGAATCTAGAAGAGGTAAGATCAAAGATACCTCCTATCCAGAATCTCCGACAGGCTTGCTATTACCTGCTCGGACCCATGACAGACTTCTAACCTGCAGAATTTTAAGATAAAAAGCATGACATGTATCTCAAACTGTCTAGTGTGTTACAGCAGCCAGAGGAACCAAGCATGTGTCTACAGCAATGTGGCTAGGTCTTACAGACCTACAAAGTCTGAATGGAAAGAAGAATTTTGATGGTATATGGTCAGACCTAAAATATCTGTGTCTCCAGATGCCATCTCTAATGCGATTGTCAAGGCATGATTATGTCTCCTAATGCTTGATGTTAGTGTCAAAGAATTGGCCTTGTGTACTTCTCAACATCTTCATTCTCAGAATGACATAGTAAGGGCCAAGTGCCTGGTAAGGAGCTTGGACTTAAGACCCTGCTCACCTCTGACTCGCTCTGCTGGTGTGAATCTCAACCTCTCTAGGACTTCATCTCTTCAACTATAAAGCTCAGAGACTGAATGAGGCAACATACAGAGTCTTTCCCTGTGCTAAGATTCTCTGATTTGATTTGTTGATCATTTTCTCCCCAAACGTCTGGCCTGTCAGGCAGTGGGTCTGCCAATGTATTATTTAGTCATGCTTAGATCAAACGTTGAATTGAAACACTACATTCTTAGTTGAAATGACCCTAAGTATGCAGATTCATCTCTTCAGAGTTTATTGTGGCTATAATTATAGACTCTGTGGTTGTATCCTGGGGGGTTGCATTTACTAATGTTGGAATCTTAGGCAAACAACTTAACCTATGTGAACATTAGTTTTCATTCATTTTATGAGGTTGCTGTGGGATTAACAGTCAAACGTTTAGAATGTTTATCCATATTATTTCAAAATTATATGGCAGCAGAATTTAAAGCATAAAAGAAGTATCATCTAAGAAAATAATGTAGGATCCCCATTTACCTTTCATAAAGAAAGGGCGAATTGTTTTCCACAGGTTCGGATTGTTGTTAAATATGATACCGTTCTCATGCATGCCGATGCACTGTAGCGCACGCTTGCTGCCGAATCTGGAGATGTAGTTATTGTGCTTCATTATATGGAACATACTTGAGGACCTGTAAGGAAAGCAAGCCATGCTGTCAATCCGACAGAGGGGAGGGCCTTTATGGAAGCTCACCTGACTGTGTGGTGGCTTTCTTAACAGAAGCGTGTTGATCCAAAAGGAAAGTGTGATGACGTGTTCAGGTTAAATAAGTATGCCGGGTAGCCTGAGAACATCCCTGCTTGAGTAAATCATTTCTACTTTCTGACTCCTTGGGAATCACTAGGAAACCCTGAGCGAGTGAAGAGGCCCTGGGTGGATGTTAGCTGCTGGTAAGACCATGCCAGTGATCAGAAGGAAATGGTAGAGTATTCCCTTCTAGTACAAGTGTGGCTGTTGACAGTGCATTCAGGAAACATCCACCATCACTCTCTTCCCTGAATATTTAGGGACTGAAGAGTGCTCCCCTATAGAGAACTGCGTCTATTGAGGCTAGCTAAACCTGTCTCCTTGATCCAGCTGTTTACCATAAACTCTGCCTCCTTGTTTATCTGTATGTAGTAACCCCACTTTCTTGATCGGCTGTATGCAATGACCCAGCCTCCCCACTCAACTCTATGTAATAAACATGCTGAGCTTGTGTGTGTGTGTGGGGGGGGGGTCCCAGAGGTGTGTATTCCACTAGAATTAATTTTTAAAATGAGGTAAAACTCCAAAACAATGCTAGAAGTAATGTATTTAGTTGGCATTTATTTCAGAAAAAAAATTCAAAATAAAAACCATCAAATCAAGTTGTCTCTCAGTTTAATTCTCATATTTATAAAACGACTGCTTTTTTTCTATAAACAAAAACAAAAAATCAGATGTTTTAAATTGAATTCCAACAAATTAAACTGACACTCCAAATTTTACCTAGGTAGAATTATCACTGCATAAAACAAACTGAAATTACTGATAATTAAAATAAGATTCCTAGCTTTTCTTACCTTTCCTAACTTTCTCTACAACTAAAGCAGAAAGTATTTTTTGCATTCTTTGGTCATGATGCTGCATTTTCAGTACTTGAGGAATGAAGAGAGCATTAGGTTTTTTGTTTGTTATTTGTTTGTTTGTCTGTCTGCTCTGGTTCCCAGGGATTCTGTACACTACTACATTTGTCTTATGGACCCAACTAAACATTAGTTTAGTTGCAATAGCTAATCCATGTGTCCCTTAGAGGGCGCTGTCATTCTGGTGATTTTCAGCCTGGTGTTCTGCCAACAAAGAAACCATCAAGGAAATATGGCCAGCCACAAAAATCAGCAGTTTAAACCAAGGTCTTTTCTCAAAGTGAGGCAGAGTTTATCCAAACGGAGTAAACTGGACAGTTAAGGAGAGAGGACTGTTGAAGGACGACAAGCTCACACTCCTCCTGGCCATCACAGAGACCTGACCCTGAGGTGCACTACCAGCAATCCTAACTGAGGGAAATGTCTTGTTTGAGGGAGTGAGGGTTTCCCAGCAGAATGTCCACGTTCAGAAGAGACAGTGGACAGTGTAACACTGCTGAGGTCAGAGGTCAGACTTTTAAATATGGTTAAAGTTAAGAGATTACTGAAATAGCCAAACTCTCCCACCCCTGGGGGGTGGGGAGGAAAGAAGAGGGGAGAGGGGAGAGGGGAGAGGGGACAGGCATTATCAGCAAGTGAGTCCGGGACTAAACAAGGCTAGCGTGGCCGAGGGCGCAGCTCAGCAGGAAGGTGT